ACCCCGCTCAAATCAGCGCGCTCTACAGGGTGTTTCAACTTCAAGTCTCGTGTGCAAATTTGAAATTATAATTTTTCTATTTTATGAAGGAGCAAATCAAATGAAATCGGTTTGGGAATGCTTGTTAGGTCTTATATGTTAGTTATTTCTTGCAAAAATGTGTCAAAACCCATTTTCAATTTTTCACAATTTTGCAATATTTTGAAATTTTCTTCGAAAAATTTCAAATTTGCCCTATCAAACGAAAAGAGAGACATCGTCAAGCTTCTCTGTGTCAACAAAATCAGTTGGACGGCTGCTAGGAGTTCACTTTCGAAGAAAGTTTGGGAATGCTTGTTGTATACAAAACAGACTATCAGCAGTGCTATACTATTCAGCAAACACAAATAAAAATTATTCCAGATCATTTGAAACGTGGTTTTGTTGTTTCACGTGAACAGTTTCACCTTCGAGGAAAGAAACTGACTTTAAAGTCTGATAATAACCTAGCTTTCACGTATGAGCAGTTTCGATCACAAGCCAATAATTAACTTTCTAAATAACTTCACCCTCACTTTGTACTCTCAATGGTACTAGGGGTCCGCACTCTGGTGACCATTGAAGAGTCCCTGTGCCCCTCTGTTACCATGGTAACTACACTGTTACTCTGCCCCACCTGTCCCTGCTGGAGACTCAGAGTGTCGTCCGCGAACTCGTCCAGACTGACGTCACGTGACCGCTCATTGCTTCTCCCCTGACTACTGGTACTTTGTCGACTATGGCGGGAGGACGTAGTCTCGTCCTCTATCTCGTACTGGGTGTACGCTCTGTTGTTTGTTGTTTCTAACCTGAAGGGGAAGGAGTAATGGAACATTTTGCGGGACTATACAAGTTTTATCATGACTATCAAAATAGAATATCTAGTCCGTGGATGATGCTTACATTTCAAAGCAACAGTTTACATTTTCCAGTGGAAACATGAGCAAATTAACACAGGAATAGACAAACCAGGCTGCGGAGGAGGGCTCAACAACAGTGATGATGAGAGGCTCCTGCTCAGGAGAGAGTTTAGTCGGAGCAACAGGACAGAACCACTCACACGCACCCTGTCCCATTATCTCCATGAAGTTCTTCTTCCAGCCCCTGTTGTAATGGTCCCGCTCGTATACTCGTTCTGAAGGGGGTGGGTGTTTATCAGCTGGTTGAAAGTTTATTTAGGGTGCTAGTATATCTAGACAAGTGATGTAGGGTGTTCTAGTGAAGACAAATCTTGATGTGACCTTTACACTTCTATTAATGTTATATCAAGTATCATGCCCGGTACAACGGGGGATGACATGTCGGCCCCTTTACACTTACCATAACTAGTCTGTCCTCGGAACATGTTGGTGCAATGATCCAGAGTTAAAAATGTAACCAACAAAGCTATTAAGGTTGACAGTCCCGTAGACATGTACAGTAACAGACAGACTGTGTAGTCTTTATTGGAGAGGTCTGGTATTATCTGCAAATGTTTGAAGTCTTACATTCGTTTCAATCAAATCAATCGGTCAATTGTTAACGTGATGAGTTAATTTTAACAATTTACAATTTTTGAATCGCCATCTAAATTCAAACATTACGTCAGCAAGAGTTTGAGAACCCCCGCTGTCGTATACCCGCCAACAGCCCCAAATAATTACACAATAAATAATAACCTACCTTACAACTCGAGCAGCTCATGTTTATTGAGTAGTGTATAATGGTAACAAGAGATATCATTACACCGAGTGCAATGCACTGTATGAAGTACTTGTGGTTACCCTCGTGGATACAGTTGTTAACCCAGTGACAATGGTGGTCCATCCTCATTACACATCTGCAATTAATATCTCTTATCATGTGGAATCATTTCCTCATTACACATCTGTAATTAATATCCTCATTACACATCTGCAATTAATATCTCTTATCAAGTGGAATCTGGTATTTGTGTTGATAGTCTTCAATGAATGGATTCAATCATTGGTTTATAAATAACGAGGTCTGATCGTCATCTTCTTACAGCGTTCGATGTCTGTGTAAAGGTAAAATTACCTTAGTATTGCTGTACAACTACTACATTGGTTTATAATTGTATAAACATACCGTTTACAGATGCCACAGTGATGAAACCTGTCTGGCTTTATAATACTGCACATTTCACATATTCTCAAGCCACCGTGCCTGTAGTCCCTTTCTCTGACTTGAAGGTCAGGCCTTGCTTTAACGTACTCACTTGTCAAGGTGGATAGCACTTGGAAACTACCCTGAAGAGTGGAGTTTTACGAAGGGGAAGTTTCTGCGACTGGGACGTTCTTGAGGTAAAATTCCAAGTATTTATTGTGATTCCTTGTCAGTCTTGAAAGAGCGAAACATTATTAGAGATAAAATTATAAATTAATATGGGTACCTGACTGTTTGGTTGTATCATGAACTGTGCTATCTCTGTCGTTGTGAGACTATACTGAAAGGAAGTGATATTAAAGCTGTGCATTTCAGCATTCGTAATTTTGCTCGCATCTTTCTATCATTCCCCAGTGGCGTAGGACTGATGAAAAGTTTGAAAATTAGAAATTTTCAGAAAATGTGTTATTGGACTGCCGATCTGGGGAGCAACCTAGGGCCCTCTATATATTCATGCCCATTGTAGGCTGCATCCCCGATCCCCGAGACTTCGTCTTACTTTCGTCTGGTTTGCACTCTCTCTTCATACCAAGTTACTAGCTAGGTAACAAGGTAATCGAAACAGTTTTCAACGTAACAACGATTTCAGCCGGTTCGGACAAATCTTTATTCTAACCATTTGAACAACAAATCAGTGCACTTCCATCTGTACGCGCCCTCACACACTATTCTAAAACCAAAGTTGGCTTTATACCAACATATTTCACGAAACATTTACTTGTATGTACCCCTAATCAACGATTTACCACCCAATTTCACGCTATTACAACTCCCCTGCAACTCCGAGCTCCTAATTACGCCTTATATGGCTGTGTAATTAGCTGTGCAAATATCACGTGCTAGATGCAGCTAGTAATTACGCCCTATATGGTGCGTAATCGGCTCTGCATAATAGCTCAATATCACGCGCTATATATCCAACCAGTAAACGCGCTCAATCGATATCTCGTGACTGTCACGTGACAGCTATCAAAGGAAATTCTCTATATGGCGCTTCCGGTGGAAACTAGGAAAGAGCTAGTTTAAGCAATAACTAGGCGGGACACCGCTTATTCTGCAGCTGAAAATAACTTCTACCATCGCCTAAGCAGATGGCGGTGGAGCTGAAAGTCAGCCTGTGTGAGCGTGTTAAATCACTCCTTATGCTACATTGTCCCGGTCACTAAGTACTCCCTGATACCTCAGGTGATGGAGTGCACTGCAGTGTGGTGTGGCCTAGCTAAAGAACTGCATGTAACCACTAACCACGCACTAAAACACTTTAACACTTTAACAGTACACTATTACACACACTGTAACACCACTGTAGAAGGAAGTAGATACTCCAAACATTAAGTTTAACGAATACTATTCTAGGTTGGTGCCTCACTGCTGTAAGATCAGAAGAAGAAAAAGAGAAGGGGAAAGAGTGTAATAACATCAGCTACACAGACCCAAACAGACAAAAAGACGAGAACCTTATAGACTGTCCGGACAACCAGGCCTACTTCCTAGTAGTTGCAGCTGCGTTTATTGGGGGGCTGGTAGTTTCATACGTCGTCCTTCAGTTCATTATCAAATGCTCTCAGATAGGCGCCCCCGCTGCCAAGAAAAAGGGTGCGGACAAGAAGAAGGAGGAGAAGAAGCCAAAAGAAGAGAAGAAAGAGAAGACGAAGGAGGAGGCCACATCAAGTACAGGGGCGAATGGAGGGGTCGCTACGAACGCTTAGTATGGTGGTGTGTTCTGCTAATACCGGGGGTAGCGGCTGGAGATAACAACACGGACTGTTCGGGTCCGGACTCGGATTGTCTGAGTGTTGATGTGATCCTGTTCATCATGTTCTTAGGGGCCGTTACTCTGGGCATGTTCCTCTCCTGGGTCATTCTGTGGATCATCATGAGGGTCAGCAGGAAGAAGTGAGTAAGAGGTGGTCAGTAAAGGAGGAAGACACTGAGAGAGTGGATCATCATGAGACACCGAGAATGTGGAGATAGATCAGTATGAGAGGTGATCAGTAAAGGGAGGGAGACACTGAGAGAGATCAGTATACCACAACATCAGAGGTTACTTGAAACGAGAGCTCAGTAGAGTTCTGACAAGGCCGACTCAGCAAGCCACAAACACACTAAACGACTATTCGGTGAGCCTGCCAACTACATTGTATTTATACATTATACAATTACATTGTATGTATACATTATACAACCCATTTTTCCGGCCATAAGAATGAATATCAGGCACTGATAGTGTCATAACTCATAAGGGGTCGTTCACATATTACGTAATCACTTTTTGGTCAATTTTTACCCCCCCCCGGCCCCCCTCGACTCCGTAATCAGTTTACACATAAATATTGTATCAAAATATACTAGCGTAATCATTTGGAAACCCCCCCTCCCCCCTCGGCTGATCACGTGATATGCGAACGACCCCAAAGACAGCAGTTGCTTTTACTTTTTTAAATTCGATGAGTATCGAATATCGATGACTGTTAACTTAGTCGATCACTAACCAGTGCTCGAATGTATTTGATTTAAGTTATCCAAAATTATTGAATGATCGTCTTTTATTTAAATATTCGTTGTTATATATTTTGCTTTAATTTGTGTAGCAGATGTGAATTGCTGTGGAGATAGAATTTTTTAAAAGAAGTTCCAACACTTATATATTGAAATAAAACACCCGAGTATATTCTGAAAATATTGCAATAAAAATCATACAAGACAATCAAAAATATAATTCTACAGTAAAAAAATCAAATTTTCCCAGCAACGAAAGACTGAATTCTTCCTGAAAGTCAACAAAAGTTCAACAAAAGTCCTGAGATATCGACCAATCTTTCACGGGCACGTTATTACTGTCCATACTCCACAAACAGAAGTCAAAAAATTACTAAACTCGTCAAACAAAGTTTAATATATCAGTACACTATATTTTTACAGAAATGATGTTAATCATTTCTTACAAGATGATAGATAACAGATTAATTACTCATATCATCTATATTAGGTAGTTTAAAGGAGCTGATTAAAACTTACAATCTGATAATTCTTGACACATTTCTTTAATCTTTAATAAAATAACACTATTAAAAACACATCATTTAAAACCAAATAAAACTCGATATATCAAACATACCAGTAGAAAATGTCACTGTCTTTCAATATAAGACAAACGTTCTTGTGTGTCAAACCAAATCAAACCCCGCTCAAATCAGCGCGCTCTACAGGGTGTTTCAACTTCAAGTCTCGTGTGCAAATTTGAAATTATAATTTTTCTATTTTATGAAGGAGCAAATCAAATGAAATCGGTTTGGGAATGCTTGTTAGGTCTTATATGTTAGTTATTTCTTGCAAAAATGTGTCAAAACCCATTTTCAATTTTTCACAATTTTGCAATATTTTAAAATTTTCTTCGAAAAATTTCAAATTTGCCCTATCAAACGAGAAGAGAGACATCGTCAAGCTTCTCTGTGTCAACAAAATCAGTTGGACGGCTGCTAGGAGTTCACTTTCGAAGAAAGTTTGGGAATGCTTGTTGTATACAAAACAGACTATCAGCAGTGCTATACTATTCAGCAAACACAAATAAAAATTATTCCAGATCATTTGAAACGTGGTTTTGTTGTTTCACGTGAACAGTTTCACCTTCGAGGAAAGAAACTGACTTTAAAGTCTGATAATAACCTAGCTTTCACGTATGAGCAGTTTCGATCACAAGCCAATAATTAACTTTCTAAATAACTTCACCCTCACTTTGTACTCTCAATGGTACTAGGTGTCCGCACTCTGGTGACCATTGAAGAGTCCCTGTGCCCCTCTGTTACCATGGTAACTACACTGTTACTCTGCCCCACCTGTCCCTGCTGGAGACTCAGAGTGTCGTCCGCGAACTCGTCCAGACTGACGTCACGTGACCGCTCATTGCTTCTCCCCTGACTACTGGTACTTTGTCGACTGTGGCGGGAGGACGTGGTCTCGTCCTCTATCTCGTACTGGGTGTACGCTCTGTTGTTTGTTGTTTCTAACCTGAAGGGGAAGGAGTAATGAAACAATTTGCGGGACTATACAAGTTTTATCATGACTATCAAAATAGAATATCTAGTCCGTGGATGATGCTTACATTTCAAAGCAACAGTTTACATTTTCCAGTGGAAACATGAGCAAATTAACACAGGAATAGACAAACCAGGCTGCGGAGGAGGGCTCAACAACAGTGATGATGAGAGGCTCCTGCTCAGGAGAGAGTTTAGTCGGAGCAACAGGACAGAACCACTCACACGCACCCTGTCCCATTATCTCCATGAAGTTCTTCTTCCAACCTCTGTTGTAATGGTCCCGCTCGTATACTCGTTCTGAAGGGGGTGGGTGTTTTATCAGCTGATTGAAAGTTTATTTAGGGTGCTAGTATATCTAGACAAGTGATGTAGGGTGTTCTAGTGAAGACAAATCTTGATGTGACCTTTACACTTCTATTAATGTTATATCAAGTATCATGCCCGGTACAACGGGGGGGGGGGGGGGGGGGGGGGGGGGGGGGGGGGGGGGGGGGGATGACATGTCGGCCCCTTTACACTTACCATAACTAGTCTGTCCTCGGAACATGTTGGTGCAATGATCCAGAGTTAAAAATGTAACCAACAAAGCTATTAAGGTTGACAGTCCCGTAGACATGTACAGTAACAGACAGACTGTGTAGTCTTTATTGGAGAGGTCTGGTATTATCTGCAAATGTTTGAAGTCTTACATTCGTTTCAATCAAATCAATCGGTCAATTGTTAACGTGATGAGTTAATTTTAACAATTAACAATTTTTGAAACGCCCCCGAAACGCCATTAAAATTCAAACATAACGTCAGCAAGAGTTTGGCGAGAACCCCCGCTGTCCGTATACCCGCCAACAGCCCCAATTAATTAATTAAATAATTACTTAATTAATTAATATTAATAAATAATAACCTACCTTACAACTCGAGCAGCTCATGTTTATTGAGTAGTGTATAATGGTAACAAGAGATATCATTACACCCAGCGCAATGCACTGTATGAAGTACTTGTGGTTACCCTCGTGGATACAGTTGTTCACCCAGTGACAGTGGTGGTCCATCTTCATTACACATCTGTAATTAATATCTCTTATCAAGTGGAATCATTTCCTCATTACACATCTGTAATTAATATCTCTTATCAAGTGAAATCATTTCCTCATTACACATCTGCAATTAATATCTCTTATCAAGTCGAATCATGGTATTTGTGTTGATAGTCTTCAATGAATGGATGGTTTATGAATAACGAGGTCTGATTGTCATCTTCTTACAGCGTTCGATGTCTGTGTAAAGGTAAAATTACCTTAGTATTGCTGTACAACTACTACATTGGTTTATAATTGTATAAACATACCGTTTACAGATGCCACAGTGATGAACCTGTCTGGCTTTATAATACTGCACATTTCACATATTCTCAAGCCACCGTGCCTGTAGTCCCTTTCTCTGACTTGTAGATCAGGCCTTGCTTTAACGTACTCACTTGTCAAGGTGGACAGCACTTGGAAACTACCCTGAAGAGTGGAGTTTTACGAAGGGGAAGTTTCTGCGACTGGGACGTTCTTGAGGTAAAATTCCAAGTATTTATTGTGATTCCTTGTCAGTCTTGAAAGAGCGAAACATTATTAGAGATAAAATTATAAATTAATATGGGTACCTGACTGTTTGGTTGTATCATGAACTGTGCTATCTCTGTCGTTGTGAGACTATACTGAAAGGAAGTGATATTAAAGCTGTGCATTTCAGCATTCGTAATTTTGCTCGCATCTTTCTATCATTCCCCAGTGGCGTAGGACTGATGAAAAGTTTGAAAATTAGAAATTTTCAGAAAATGTGTTATTGGACTGCCGATCTGGGGAGCAACCTAGGGCCCTCTATATATTCATGCCCATTGTAGGCTGCATCCCCGATCCCCGAGACTTCGTCTTACTTTCGTCTGGTTTGCACTCTCTCTTCATACCAAGTTACTAGCTAGGTAACAAGGTAATCGAAACAGTTTTCAACGTAACAACGATTTCAGCCGGTTCGGACAAATCTTTATTCTAACCATTTGAACAACAAATCAGTGCACTTCCATCTGTACGCGCCCTCACACACTATTCTAAAACCAAAGTTGGCTTTATACCAACATATTTCACGAAACATTTACTTGTATGTACCCCTAATCAACGATTTACCACCCAATTTCACGCTATTACAACTCCCCTGCAACTCCGAGCTCCTAATTACGCCTTATATGGCTGTGTAATTAGCTGTGCAAATATCACGTGCTAGATGCAGCTAGTAATTACGCCCTATATGGTGCGTAATCGGCTCTGCATAATAGCTCAATATCACGCGCTATATATCCAACCAGTAAACGCGCTCAATCGATATCTCGTGACTGTCACGTGACAGCTATCAAAGGAAATTCTCTATATGGCGCTTCCGGTGGAAACTAGGAAAGAGCTAGTTTAAGCAATAACTAGGCGGGACACCGCTTATTCTGCAGCTGAAAATAACTTCTACCATCGCCTAAGCAGATGGCGGTGGAGCTGAAAGTCAGCCTGTGTGAGCGTGTTAAATCACTCCTTATGCTACATTGTCCCGGTCACTAAGTACTCCCTGATACCTCAGGTGATGGAGTGCACTGCAGTGTGGTGTGGCCTAGCTAAAGAACTGCATGTAACCACTAACCACGCACTAAAACACTTTAACAGTACACTATCACACACACTGTAACACCACTGTAGAAGGAGGTAGATACTCCAAACCTTAAGTTTAACGAATACTATTCTAGGTTGGTGCCTCACTGCTGTAAGATCAGAAGAAGAAAAAGAGAAGGGGAAAGAGTGTAATAACATCAGCTACACTGACCCAAACAGACAAAAAGACGAGAACCTTATAGACTGTCCGGACAACCAGGCCTACTTCCTAGTAGTTGCAGCTGCGTTTATTGGGGGGCTGGTAGTTTCGTACGTCGTCCTGCAGTTCATTATCAAATGCTCTCAGATAGGCGCGCCCGCTGCCAAGAAAAAGGTCGCGGACAAGAAGAAGGAAGAGAAGAAGCCAAAAGAAGAGAAGAAAGAGAAGACGAAGGAGGAGGCCACCTCAAGTACAGGGGCGAATGGAGGGGTCGCTACGAACGCTTAGTCTGGTGGTGTGTTCTGCTAATACCGGGGGTAGCGGCTGGAGATAACAACACGGACTGTTCGGGTCCGGACTCGGATTGTCTGAGTGTTGATGTGATCCTCTTTATCATGTTCTTAGGGGCAGTTACTCTCGGCATGTTCCTCTCCTGGGTCATTCTGTGGATCATCATGAGGGTCAGCAGGAAGAAGTGAGTAAGAGATGGTCAGTAAAAGGAGGAAGACACTGAGAGAGTGGATCATCATGAGACACCGAGAATGTGGAGAGAGATCAGTATGAGAGGTGATCAGTAAAGGGAGGGAGACACTGAGAGAGTGAAGTATACCACAACATCAGAGGGTACTTGAAACTAGAGCTCAGTAGAGTTCTGACAAGGCCGACTCAGCAAGCCACAAACACACTAAACGACTATTCGGTGAGCCTGCCAACTACATTGTATTTATACATTATACAATTACATTGTATGTATACATTATACAACCCATTTTTCCGGCCATAAGAATGAATATCAGACACTGATAGTGTCATAACTGATAAGGGGTCGTTCACATATTACGTAATCACTTTTTGGTCAATTTTAACCCCCCCGGCCCCCCTCGACTCCGTAATCAACACATAAATATTGTATCAAAATATACTAGCGTAATCATTTGGAAACCCCCTGGCCCTCCCCCCTCGGCTGATCACGTGATATGCGAACGACCCCAAAGACAGCAGTTGCTTTTACTTTTTTAAATTCGATGAGTATCGAATATCGATGACTGTTAACTTAGTCGATCACTAACCAGTGCTCGAATGTATTTGATTTAAGTTATCCAAAATTATTGAGTGATCGTCTTTTATTTAAATATTCGTTGTTATATATTTTGCTTTAATTTGTGTAGCAGATGTGAATTGCTGTGGAGATAGAATTTTTTTAAAAGAAGTTCCAACACTTATATATTGAAATAAAACACCCGAGTATATTCTGAAAATATTGCAATAAAAATCATACAAGACAATCAAAAATATAATTCTACAGTAAAAAAATCAAATTTTCCCAGCAACGAAAGACTGAATTCTTCCTGAAAGTCAACAAAAGTTCAACAAAAGTCCTGAGATATCGACCAATCTTTCACGGGCACGTTATTACTGTCCATACTCCACAAAGCAGAAGTCAAAAAATTACTAAACTCGTCAAACAAAGTTTAATATATCAGTACACTATATTTTTACAGAAATGATGTTAATCATTTCTTACAAGATGACAGATAACAGATTAATTACTCATATCATCTATATTAGGTAGTTTAAAGGAGCTGATTAAAACTTACAATCTGATAATTCTTACACATTTCTTTAATCTTTAATAAAATAACACTCTTAAAAACACATCATTTAAAACCAAATAAAACTCGATATATCAAACATACCAGTAGAAAATGTCACTGTCTTTCAATATAAGACAAACGTTCTTGTGTGTCAAACCAAATCAAACCCCGCTCAAATCAGCGCGCTCTACAGGGTGTTTCAACTTCAAGTCTCGTGTGCAAATTTGAAATTATAATTTTTCTATTTTATAAAGGAGCAAATCAAATGAAATCGGTTTGGGAATGCTTGTTAGGTCTTATATGTTAGTTATTTCTTGCAAAAATGTGTCAAAACCCATTTTCAATTTTTCACAATTTTGCAATATTTTAAAATTTTCTTCGAAAAATTTCAAATTTGCCCTATCAAACGAGAAGAGAGACATCGTCAAGCTTCTCTGTGTCAACAAAATCAGTTGGACGGCTGCTAGGAGTTCACTTTCGAAGAAAGTTTGGGAATGCTTGTTGTATACAAAACAGACTATCAGCAGTGCTATACTATTCAGCAAACACAAATAAAAATTATTCCAGATCATTTGAAACGTGGTTTTGTTGTTTCACGTGAACAGTTTCACCTTCGAGGAAAGAAATTCACTTTAAAGTCTGATAATAACCTAGCTTTCACGTATGAGCAGTTTCGATCACAAGCCAATAATTAACTTTCTAAATAACTTCACCCTCACTTTGTACTCTCAATGGTACTAGGTGTCCGCACTCTCGTGACCATTGAAGAGTCCCTGTGCCCCTCTGTTACCATGGTAACTACACTGTTACTCTGCCCCACCTGTCCCTGCTGGAGACTCAGAGTGTCGTCCGCGAACTCGTCCAGACTGACGTCACGTGACCGCTCATTGCTTCTCTCCTGACTGCTGGTACTTTGTCGACTGTGGCGGGAGGACGTGGTCTCGTCTTCTATCTCGTACTGGGTGTACGCTCTGTTGTTTGTTGTTTCTAACCTGAAGGAAGGGGGGGGGGGGGGGGGGGGGTTTTTTTTTTTTTTTTTTTTTTTTTTTTTTTTTTTTTTTTTTCGGAAATCATTTTTTTTCCAGAATTTATTCTTTTATATGTCATGGAAACCGAAGGGAGGGGGCGGGGTTTTACTTTCTTTAAAGGGATTTTGAGGGGAAATAAAAATTTATTCTTAAAAAGGATATTGAAAAAATATTTTAAAGCCCATTTAAAATTCGGCTTTAATAATCTAATTTCACTTTTTAAAACCCCCCCCTTTTTTGTCCCCACAAAAACCCCCTTTTTTAAAGTCTCACTTTTTAAATTAAAAATTAAAAAACCAAATATTTTAAAAATTTCGGGGATATTTTAAAAAAAATTTTTTTTTGGCCTTTTATTTTAAAAACAAAAAATTTTTAAAATTTAAAATTATTTAAATAGGGAAAGCGTTTGGTTTTCATAAAGTGGGGAAAAAAAGGGATGATTTTCTGGCTTTTGTTTTCGATTTTCTACCCATACCCGGGCGTGGATGATGAAAAGTTTGGAAAATTAGAAAATTTTCAGAAAATGTTTTATTGGACTGCGATCGGGGGAGCCCTAGGGCCCTCTATATTTTCTGCCCAGTGGCGACCCCCGATCCCCGGACTTCGTTTTATTTCGTTGGGTTTTGCATCTCTTTATAAAAGTTACTGCTAGGTAACAGGTAATCAAAAACATTTTTTCAACGTAAACAACGATTTCTACGGTTGGGAAAAAATCTTTTTTAACCATTTTGAAAACAAAAATAGGCACTTCCATCTGTCGCGCCCCCCAACCTTTAAAAAACCCAAAAATTTGGCTTTTAACCCAACTTTTCACGAAAATTTACTTTGTATGTATTAAAACATTTCACCCAAATTTACGCTATTACAACCCCGAAAACTCCAAAGCTCCTTTTTCGCCTTTATGGTGTGTAATTTTGCTGTGCAAATTCACGTGCTAGATAGTAGTTTTTCGCCCTATTGGTGCGTAATCGGCTCTGCAAAAGTAAATATCACGGTTAATCCAACAGAAAACGCGTCAACGATATCCCCTAAATGTCAGTGACAGCTATAAAGGGAAAATTCTCTATATGGCGCTTCGGGGGAAATGGGAAAGGCTATTTTAAAGCAAAAATAGGGGAACGTTTTTTGCAGCTAAAAATAACTTTCCATCCCTGAGATGGCGGTGGAGCTAAAAGTAGCCTGGTTTGTGAGGGGGTTAAATAATCCTTTGTACTTTGCCCCGGTATAGTACTCCCTGTTCCCTC